TCCTTTGTTGTTGAGTTTCCTCTTCCAGTGGGTATCCTGGTGTTCACCGCCTCCACCTATTCTTTTTTCTGATCAGTTGGAGGGGGAAAGCAAAATGGTTTAAGACAGCAAGAGAGTATTCCATGATATTTACAGTAGCAGCAAGTAGAGAAGAGATAGGAGATCCTTTGACTATGTATAGTGTTAACCGTGATCATCCACCCAGCTAGCTGACTTTTAGAAAGGATGGAAATAAGATAAGACTCTTGTTGGGGAAGGAAGATTGTGAGTTGGATCTATAAAGCAGGGAGGTTGTGGGAGGTCAGATTCTGAGGTAAGGTGAGAGTAAAGGATAGTAAATGGGTGTAGTGTGTGAGAGAATAGAGTTAACCACTACAGTAATAGAGTTCAGGAAACTTTGAAATGGGCTAAGATCTGGGAGGGTTGTTGTGAAGTTATCACAACTGCATGGAACAGCAATTATTTACAATAATATTAGGGCAACAATCATATGACAGAATCTATGAGATCTAGGTAACAAGAATAGGGAGTACAGAACCTCCAGTAGTGTGCTAATGGGACACAGGTGAGTTAAAGGACAGTAGGTTAGCAATACACTCTGAAAGAGATATCAGGGGAAAGCTGTCAGGTCATCCAATATAACCAGCCTAGCAAAGCAGACTATACAAAAAGAAGAGGGATACAAAAATACTATTTTAAAAAGATGTCAGAATATTGGAAAAATAATAATAATACAAATATGCAATAACTTGCAGGTTCTCTATAGTAGCAAAGTGAAATTTGTCTCACTGTCCCAGCTGTGGTGATGCCCCTTCTTTGGGTTCAACTTTGGTCTTTTCACAGATCCAGGATTTTGTCTCACTTGTTGCAGCACTCTTCTTAGGGTCTGATTTTTCAGTTCCACCACAATCTTTGGTCCCCTATTTTCACATATGCTGAACTATGTTGGTTGCTTGCTTCTCTACTCCATAGATCAGCCAGGATTTTCTCCCCTGAGCAGAGGGAAGCCGAATCTGCTCCTTCCTACTCTGATGCCACCTTAGCACCAATACAAAAATTTGATTTTCTTTGTGGCAAAATATGCCACTTACTCTATTTTGCATTCCCAAATACTCACTTACTCTTTTTTCCCACCTACTGGATCATTTAAATCTATTTTCTTTCTCCTCTTTCAAATGATTCATGTGTACAGTCCCTTCTTTCATTAAATATGTATTAGGTATACTTATTTTATAATCTGTCTAATAATTCCAATATGGAAAGGTTTGTGAGTTATTCAGCTCTGTTTTTCTCCTACTCTGTCTTAATAATAGTGGACTATTTCTTGTTTTGGTTTTGTTTGCTGGTTAGCTTCAAAATTTTTGGCTGATATATCATAATCCCTGAACTTTTCGGAGGAAATTCTCCTTCAGAGAAGACTTGCATTCCCTTCAGCAGCTGCCAATGGACCCAGGCATTTTATTCTTCTTTTTTTATACACTCACCCAAGAACATTTTTTTTCATTGCCTCTAGAGAGAGAGAAGGGGAGAAAGAGAAAGAAACATTGACATGAGTGAGAAGCATCCATGGGCTGCCTCCCACAGGCGACCACACCGGGGCTAGTACATGTCTCAGCGGGGATCGTACTGGTCCCGGTCAGGGATCATGGTCACCCCAACTGGAGCTCAAACCCACAACTTCGGTTGTGACCTGACTGGGGATGGAACACTCAACCTATCAGTTACAGAACAACGCTCCCACCAATTGAGCCACACTGGCCAGGGCAGCACTATCATTTTACACAAAAATACTTTTTTATCTGTTTCAAACAATTTGTATTGAACTTATGGGAGTGATATTACTTAATAAAATTGTGCAAGTTTCTGGTGTACAGGGCTATAGGGCGTGATCTGTGTGTTGTACTGTGCGTTCCCCGCACTGAGTCAACTCTCCATCCGTCACCGTTTATCCCCTTTACCCTCTTCCCCTCCCCCACCCCCTCTCCCTCTGGTCATCACCACACCGTTGTCTGTGTCTAAGAGAATTTTTTCCACTCCCTTCCCACTTTTTTCCAGCCCCCAACTCCTCTCACATCTGACAGCTCTATCTATGAGGTTGTTTCCATTTTGTTAACTTTGTTCATCAGATTCCACGTATTAGTGAAACCATGGTATTTGTCTTCCCCGTGACTGCTTTATATCACTGAGCATAATGCTCTCCAGGTCCATCCATGCTGTCACGCAAGCTGAGATTTCTCTTTTACAGCTGAGCAGTATTCCACTGGGTAACCGTACCACAGCGTTTTTATCCGCTCCCGTACTGACGGGTATTTGGGCTGCTTCCAAAACTCAGCTACTGTAAACAACAATGCAATGAACATAAAGGTACAAAAAAATTACATTCTAAATAATTTAACCACCTTAGGCCAGGCAGAGTGGCTCAATGGGTTGAAGCATCATCTCGTACACCAAAGGTCTCCCATTCAATTCGAGGTCAAGGCCCATACTTAGGTTGTGGGTTTGATCCCTGGTTGGGGCCATAGTAATACCCAACAACCACTGTTGACGCTAGAACTTCCTCCTGAATTCACTTCCTTGTCCTTCTGCTCACAAATTACTTGGTTCAGGTCCTCCCAGTTGCAGATTTTAAGACCCCCACAGTTTCCTGAGAAGTCCCCGCCTCCTGTCCCTACCCCTGTACCTCTAGTCGCCCCAAGAATCACTGTGGCTTCCCAAAGGGCCCATCTGGACATGACCTTCCTCTGGCCTCAGGCCTCAGGCTGACCCTTGGGCAGCTCTCAGGCCCCTCTTGCCCACACTTCCTGACCCCCCTGGACCCCCCAGCACACTGCCCATCACACTGACTGAAGGACTTCCTTTCCCACAACACAGCTCCCTCAGGCCTCTGCCCCTCTGCACACACATCCATTTCTCTCTGTCCCACCACCTGTGCCATCTCAACTCCACCTCCCCACCCCCATCAGACAGACACCCCTCCTCTGAAAGCAGCCCTGAGGGCCACAGCCTGGCTCAGCTGACGCTGTCTGGGTCCCCAGGCCCCGGGGCCCTGCACCTCTCCCCACAAGGACCATGTGGCCTGCAGGTCCCTGTGCCTGTCTGCACCCCTCTGGGCTTTGAGCTCCAGTCAGGGAGGTCCCTGTGTGCTTGGCCCTCCCTCCTGCATCTCCAGGATCCCCCTCCCCCTGGGGCCTGGTCTGCAGTAGGAGGGAAGGAAGTATGTGAAGAGGACAAAAGCCGGATGGTCAGCAAAGTGGGGCAGGATATCCCAGCCCCTCCTCTCTGTGCCCAGGGCAGGACGCTGGCTCAGTGCCCACTCCATCTGGGCAAAACTGAGGGGATTTTTGACTCTGAAACTGGATGTCTAACTAAGACCAGGCCTGCACACTGACCACAGTATCAGGGGGCAGACGCAGGTGAGCTGGGACAGTGTCTGGAGAAGAAATCGGTACCCAGGGAACAGCCCACATTACTGTTGGCTGCAATGAATGCTTCCCCAGAGGCAGGGTTGGGGGTGGGTGTGGTGTGGAACGTGCACTGCGCCTTCCCAGAGTCCCCCCATTTCCAGGAATAGCCCGAGTCCGGCGGCTCCTTTTCCGCTGCCCACACAGAGCTCGGCCTGCCCCTCCTGGGGACGTGTGTGAGCCCAGACCCCGGGGCTACAGAGGGGAGCTGCCCAGTCAGTGTGCTAAAGTTCAAGTGTGTGTGATCAAGCAGGACAGATGTCTTGGAGGAAAGTGGAGAGAGAACAGACTGGGGCTGAGAAGGCGCCAACCTGCAGCAGCAGCCCAGGCAGACAGGCCGGGGGTTCCCTCACTTCCCAGGCCCTGGGTCCCGCCAACCCCATCAGCCCACCTTCAGCGTCACCCACAGGGGCACTTGTGCCCTCAGGTGAGAAGACACCAGAGACCATGCACTCGCTCCTTCTGGGCGCACTGACAGAAGGCCATGCGGGGCTTCGTGAGGCATGGCTGTCTGCACGTACACAGGGACTCTGACCTTGGCAGCACCTTGAACTCAGACTTCCGGCCTTTGGAACTGTGAGAAAACACATTTCCATTGTCTAACCCACCTGGTCTATGGATTAATTGCAAGCCATCACACTAGTCCAGTCCTCTCAAAGAACGAATTCTGTCTCGATAGGTTAGGAAACAGACTGGTCCTCACTGGTTGCCTGACCAGTCAGTCTCCCATCACCACCTTCTCCCAGTCAACAAGGTTCCTGGTGTTGTTCAGCACAAAGCGCCTCTCCTGCAGATGCAGGGGGTGCATGGGGTGGCCTCACTCTCTGTGGCTGGTGCTGCTGGAGGCTGCTGCAGGCCTTCAAACCAGCGAGAGAGTCGACGGGAGGGCCTGGGTCACTGGTGGCCTTGGTGCCCTGCTGAGCTGACCCTGAGTCACCTGCCTCTGTCCCCCTGGGCCAAGCTGCTGAAGCCCCTGTTCGATGACGTCTGCCTCCCGCAGCCACGTGCCTCCTAACGGCCATGAGTTCCTGGGCCCCCTGATGCCAAGGCACCCACTTTCTAGAAGCTTCCCCATGGAGTACAGCACCCCGACAGTCCTGCCCCACGGCTCCTGTACTTCCTGGAGTTGCTACAAGGCAAGGGCCTGTGTGGCACCTGGGGGTGGACAGCTCTGTGCGCTCCTGCCTCCCCTTCCTGGTGTCAGGACATTTGTGCGGGGCCTGGGCACGTTGTCACGTGGCTTCAAGCCCCAGTGACCCCATGGTTTCATGTATGTAATTATGGGCCTGTCTCCTCAGAGAAATCCTGAGTCTCCCTATAAAGCATGTTCAGCCCTGGCTAGTGGCTCAGTTGTTGGAGCGTCAACCTGAGGCACCGAGGTGGCCAGTCTGACCCCCGGTCAGGACACACACAGGGAGCAACTGAAGTGCATGGATGAGTGGGGGAACGAAACAATGCTTCTCCCTCTCTCTCTCTGTCTCTCTCCCTTCCTTCCTCTTGTGCTGGAATCCACAAATTTAAAAAGCATTAAACCTGTTTAGTAATTAGTTGTTGTTAGTATCATAAGGAAACTGAAAGTGGAATTCTCAGCTTCCATATAAAGCCTGTCCCACCAGCAGCACCCACCACACAGCTCCATGGACTCCCAGGTAAGTCCCTGCACCTTCCTGTCGGTGGCTCTGGGCAGAGGGCAGCTCCCCTCCTGCGAGGGCCCTGCCTGTGCTCTGGCCCTGGGACCCCCAGAGCTCGTCTTTGGAGACTTTTAGAGAAAACTATGCTGTTTCAAAGTCTCTTTTTATGGGCAGGACGGTGAGGTCTTCAGGCAAATGAGCCTTGTCTCCTAATCTGGCACCGTGGGTGCACCTGGGGCTCCCAGTTGGGAGAGTATTTGGGTGTCCAGGCTGATGGGGGGACCTGAGAAGTGATCGAATCCCTGGCCTGTCTCCCTCAGCTGCCACCCAAGGTCGAGGCCTTCTCAGCCCCAGTCTGTTCTCTCCCCTCTTTGCTCCAACACAGTTGGCCCCGCCTGGCACTGAGCCGTAGAATTTTAGCATGCTGAGCCCAGAGCTCCCCTCCTGTCACCCTGGGGTCCAGACTCACACACACCCCCAGGGGGGCAGGCCGAGCTCCGTGTGTGTTTAACTGACAAGGAGCAGCTGGTCTCGGGCTACCTCTGAAAATGAGGGGGTTCTGGGAAGGCGCACTGCACACTCCAGCGCCCGTCCATCTGCATCCTGGGTCCAGGGCCAGAGCTGTGTTGGGGGAAACACAAAACCGGGCAAGTCCCTGGGGAACTGTTTCTGACCCAGACGGGGCCCAAGCCCACCTCCGTCTGTCTCCTGCTACTGTGGACAGTGCCCTGGCCTGGCCTTAGTTAGACATTAGATCCAGAGTGAAAAATGACCCAAACCCCATCCCCCCTGGTCCAGATGGAGCCGGTCCTAGGCCCGCCCTGCCCTGGGCACAGAGAGGAGAAACTGGGGAATCCCAGCCCCACTGACCACCTGACTTTCCTCCTCCTCACACACTGCCTTCCCTCCTACTGCAGACCTGCCCCCTATGGGTTGGATCCTGGAGATGCAGGGAGGGAGGGCCCAGCACACAGGGACCTCCCTGAGTGGAGCTAAAAGCCCAGAGGGGTGCAGACAGGCACAGGGACCTGCAGTGCCACGTGGTCCTTGTGGGGAGAGGTGCAGGTCCCCAGGGCCTGGGGACCCAGACAGTGTCAGCTGAGCCAGGCTGTGGCCCTCAGGGCAGCATCTCAGAGGAGGGGTGTCTATCTGATGGGGGGAGAGGAGGCGTGGGGGTGGGGCAGGGGGAGAGGAGGACAGAGAAGCACATGTGTGTGCAGAGGGGCAGAGGTGGGAGTGAGCTGCCTGGTGGGAAGGCAAGGCCTGCAGTGGCCCCGGGGGGCAGTGTGCTGGGAGGGCCGGGGGCCAGGACGGGTGGGCATGAGGGGCCTGAGAGCTGCCCCCGGGCCAGCCTGAGTTCTGAGGCCAGACGAAGGTCATTTCCAGGTGGGCCCTGTGGAAGCCACAGTGGGTCTTGGGGAGACTGGAGGAAGGGGGGAGGCACAGGAGGCAGGGGGCTGCTCAGGACACCATGAGGGTCACATAATGGGGAACCGGGAGGCCCTGAACCAAGTCATCTGTGAGGAGATGAACAAGGACGGGAATCAGGAGAAACTTCCAGGGTCAACACTGGTGTTGGGTGTTGGCAGGAAGGAGGGCAAAGGGAAGCTGACCCCTGGCCTCAGATCGGGCGTCCTGGGGTGAGGGCTGTGGGGGGGCTGCTATTTGCTGAGGTCAGGCAGAAAAGGAGAGTAAAACGGAAATATTCTACAGTCATGAAACAGCCACTCCCTGGGCAGTGCACTGGGGCCCAGGAAGGAGCTGCGGGAGGGGAGGGGGCAGGGACGCAGGGACTGGGAGGCCCAGGGCAGAGAAGACCCAGTGCAGCCGCTTTCCCGCCAGGTGCTCCCTGCACTCCCTGCCCCCTCTCTGAGCCTCAGTCTGTAAACCAGCGCAAACCGGTGCTCCGCACACCCTCACCAGGTGACGAGCACCAGCCAGGGGTCCCCAGGCCAAGCAGGGTCTGCAGGCAGGGCCTTTGCTGGGGCCTGGACATCTGTGTACACCCTTCTGGCATTTTCTCCTGCAGGTCAGCAGCGTATGCAATCCAGGAGACCTGATTGAGATTTCCCGTCCTATCTACCAGCACTGGGCAATCTACATGGGAGATGGCTACGTGGTCCATCTGACTTCTACAAGTAAGGACTGTGAAAGTATAGTCTTCAAATGTTTTGTTAACATAATGAGAATAACTCAAAGCCAAATGCCACCATGGGAAACTGGAGTTCGTTTCTCCCTGAGCAGTGCCAGGGCTCACCCTCCATCCATGTCCCTCTGAGTCACCCCAGTGTGTCACCCAGTACCTGACAGGGCAGGGAAAGAGGTTTGTGGATGCCCCAGTGCAGCCAGGTGGTTCAGCACTGGGGGCTCTACCGCTCGGTGCCCGGTTACCTGGGCAGGTGGGGGCTGATGTCACTCAAACCAGCAAAGGCTCTGAGTGTCTGTGGTCACATAAAGGACAAGGTTACTTAGTCCTCTGTCCTGGACACTCACTTGGTTTCACAGAAAAGGAGTCCTGAGTGTGGACTTAGTTGCCCTCAACAGAGGCAGCTCTCGTGGTGACATGTCACTAAGAACATGCTGTCACAGCCGCACCTGAGTGCCCTGAGCGCTGTCTTCAACTCCTGGAGAGCAGGGGAGGCAGGACGGCCCGCCAGGTCCGAGGGGAATGCCGGACGCAGGTGTGCGTGCCGTCCAGGACGGAGGGATGCTGGGGTGGGACTGCTGACTGAGGGCCAGGGCTGCGTGTCCCCCAGAGCCTGTCACCCTCACCTTGGACACGAGGGTTTGCACTGTCCCCAGAAGGAGTCTGTTGGCAGAATAATCATTGCATCTTGTCCATTTTCTGTAAGCTCTCAGCGACCCTGACAGATCATAACAATGTCTGAATGGATGGAAACTAGTGAATGCAACCCCCCTAATCAGGGCGACACTTCGGGAGGCTTGGAGCAGAGAGCAGGGCTGCAGCCCCCAGGGTCCAGGGTCCAGGGTCCAGGGTCTGGGCTGTGCCTGCATGTTGGGGAGGACTTTCTTAAGGGAGGGGCGCTCAGTGGGAACCTCTGACGGAACCATAAACTGAGCATGCTCAGTTGCTGTGCGCACTGTTGCCCACCCACCCCACCTAGCACATGACACCCGGACCCAGTGGGATGGACTAGAGGCCCCAGGAGCTGACGGCTCCAGTATGGGCCTCTCCACTGGCCACAGCGCTGTCAGGAACGCCCGAGAATATGTCCCGGGTCCAATATTGATTATATAGGGGGGATCCAAAACATCGGAATTTATTTATGAAAGAGATGTATTTATTCTTACATGTGTAAACTTCAGTCATCTTGAAAGAACTCTCTGCTGGATGCAGCACAACCATCGAGACCTTCTCTCCACTGCTCAGACCTGCTTTTGACTCGTTGATTCTGATGCCTTTTAGTGCTGCTGCCATTTTTGTCACTTCTCCCACATCAACAAAACACGTCCCTTTTAGGACCTTTTCCACCCAGGGAAACAAAAAAGTTGCTTGGGGAGAGATCGGGTAAACAGGAAGGGTGAGGCACGGGGCTCATGCGCATTTTGGTCAGACACGGTGGGCACTCAAACAGCTCTGACCTCTTCGGGAAATGCACAAGGGCCCCGAGAGGAACGGAGAACAAACACGGTTTCCAGTCATCGTTCACGGCGGCTGAGCTGGGGCACAGCCAACATGCTCATTAACGGAAGGGGCTGGTCAGCTGGACGGGGACCATTCACATAATGCAACACAAGGCAGCCACTGGCCACCCCAGCACTAACACCATGAAAGCACATCACAGCTTGTTCAGTCAAAGGAGCAAAATCTGTGACTCCCCCAGTCACGTCTGGGAAGGGACGGACATTGGAAGCTCAGTACCAGGCTCGCTACTCCCTTTCTTCTGGTCTTACCCTCTCTTTCCCCACCCCTGCCACCCCCGCCTTTCCTGTAGCGCCTGATTCCAGTGTCTCCGATTCCAGGTGATTATCCAGGAGCGGGCTCCTCCAGCATCGGCTCCAGCGTCGGCTCCAGCGTCGGCTCCAGCATCGGCTCCAGCGTTGGCTCCAGCGTCGGCTCCAGCATCGGCTCTATCCTCGGCTCCAGCGTCGGCTCCAGCATCGGCTCCAGCATCGGCTCTATCCTCGGCTCCAGCGTCGGCTCTCTTCTGTGCGAGAAGGGTGTGGTGAAAATGGAGCGGCTGACTCATGTGGCGGGGGACTGCATGTATCGGGTTAACAACCAGTTGGACAAGGAGCTAAAACCACTGCCTGTGGAGCAGATTCTCAGTTCTGCCAAGAGGATGGTTGGCAAGACGTTGCCGTATGATATTATCAAAAGTAATTGTGAGCACTTTGTCACCAAACTGAGATATGGTGAGCCCAGATCCCTGCAGGTAAGACCCTCTCTGGGTGGTCCCTTTTGCTCCTGGAGGTCTGCTTCAGGTGGGGGCAACCAGGCGGTGCACCCAGAGGGAATAGTTACCCTGAACGATGCAAAAGCGGGCTCTGGGGGATCCCCTGTGGCAGGGAGGCAGGACATCTGAGAGCCCTTCTCAGATCTGCTTCTAATCCTCTCGGGGTCTTGGCACAGGTCACCTCCTCTCTGGGCCTCAGTTTCCCCATGTGTAGAAGAAGAGCTGGTTGGAGGATCACTGGGGCTCTGGCCAGCTCTGTCTCTTCAGGGTCCTTCACCTGCAGGACCCCTATAAAGGCAGCCCCTGGGGCCCCTGTGTGTGGTCAGGGAGCATCTGGGCCCACCCAGCACCATGGCAGGCCAGCTCTCCTAGGGCCCCAGAGAGCACTGGGGCAGGGGGTGCCCGGTCAGTGGGCCCAGGTTCCTGCTCAAGGACACCTTTGTGTCCCACCTGGGCACAGCTTTAACCCCTGCCCCTCCCTCTCTTCCCAGTGTGTTGTCCCAACACACCCAGCTAGTGAGGGGCAGGAGCAGGATTCAAAGCCCAGTGGCCCTGCTCTTCACTGCTGACCACAGCACCCCCAGGGCTGGGGGCCCCTGTCAGTGGGTGGGTGGGACCTGGGTGAGAGAGAGTGGGGGCAGGAGGGGCAGGTGTGCAGGGGGTAAGGGTTCGATGCTGAGGTGGGGTGCGTGTGGCCAGTCAGACGTCCAGGCGAGCATGTTGAACAGCAGATGGACATGTGAGTCTGGAGGCCAAGGCTGAGGAGGGGGCTGGAGGGCGAAGTTTGCAGGCTGCACTTGTGAACAGTCCACAGTGTGGCTGTGGTGTCCCAGGGTCTCCCCTCAGCCTCTGCCACAAGCGTCCCCCTGCAGGGGCGGCCCCAGGGAGAGCCCAGACCACACAGTCATTCCCACCTTGACCCCCAGAGCTCTGGGCCCAGGACCCCAGGCACAAAGCCTCCTCCCCACCCACCCAGGCCGGGAACACATGGCCTCCCCCAGGGAGTGCACACAGAGGACTCCATCAGCCCCTCCTGCCGGTTGGCGGGACAAATCCAGACAAGCCCACCACTGAGAAGTGGTCACCACTTCTATTTCCCAGGGAATGGGGCCAGCATCCTGTGTGGGAGAGGGCCCTGGGTTCACCTTGGGAGGGAGGGAGGACCTGCCTGACTGGGCCTGGACTCTGACACAGGCTGCCCACTTTCAGGTTGAAAACGCTGTGATTGCAGGAGCGCAGGCTGGAGCCTTAGGTGTATTTGCTCTCGCAGCAGACAACCTTGCTCAATTTGTAATGAGGAACTGGTCCCACCCCAGTGACAGCCTGAAGAAGCCACAGGATCCTGCCCTCGAAGCCGCTGAGCAGCGGACCGCCCCCACCTCCCCTGTCTCGCTGACCCCAGCTCTCGGGCAGCCCGCAGTTCGGTCCCTCGCTCTCCTTCTCTCTGACCGAAGGATGGAAAAATTGTACCAAGACCTACAATGAATAAATGTATCTGCCTTTCCCTTCACAGAGGAATTCCACTGTGTGTTGTGTAGACTTCTAACCCAGACGGGAGAAGGTTCAGTGCCTGTTGGGGACACCAGCAAGCTCTGGCCATGTGGCCCTGGGTGATGCTCCTGACTCCCAGGCCTCAGGTCCTTGTCTCCCAGATGGGCAGGGGTCCGGGTCCCGGTGACAGCGTGAGGGTCGGGTGAGATGGCCGGCGGGAGACCCCTGCCCCTGTGTGGTCTGTGGCAGGAGCTCAGAGGACCGTCCCGTGGTTCTGTGCAGACCGACCCTTGTTCCCACTGGACATCACTCCTTTCACTCCCAGGGGACAGAACACGAACACGAGATTCTCCCCCCACGACCATCCCCCCGTGGAGTCCCACCCTCTGGTACCTGGGGCCCCTCAGAAGGCATGACCCTCCCCCAGTGACCTCCCTCAGGCAGCCCCCTGGTAAAAAGTGCTGCTTTTCTCTTTGAACTCTGGGGCCTCCTCCTCACCACCTGTGACTAGCAGAGGGAATGCTCTCATCTCTGGGCACCCCCCTTGCTCAGGCTCCAGCTGCCCCCGGGGGGGATGCTGAAGACCCCCACCCCCACACTGAGGGCAGGACACCTCTCTGTGGGACACTGGGATGGGGGTGCCTGGGGTCACAATTGGCCCAGACTCGTAGAATGCGCAACAGCGAGAGCGGCCCCTGAGGTAGACTAAGGACCTGGCTTATGATGCTGTCTCACTGCAGGTTCAGCGATTGTGACAACAGTGTCCCCTCCGGGGGCTGTGGACAGCGGGGGAGGCTGTGCATGAGTGGGGTCGGGGTGTCGGGACATCTCTGTACCTTCCCTCGGTTTTTCTGTGAGCCTAGAAGTGCTCTAAAAAGTAAGTCTGTTTAATAAGGTAACAGAAATGATGTATTTGACTTTACAAAATTTTGATTTTCCTTATGGCAAAATATTCCACTTATTCTATTTTGCATTCCCAAATACTTACTTAGTCTTTTTTTCTGACCTACTTGATCATTTACATCTATTCCCTTTCTCCTCATTGAAATGATTCACGTGTCCAATCCCTTCTTTCATATAAATATATATTAAATATACCTATTTTATAATCTGTATCTAATAATCCCAATATGGAAAGGCTTTGTGAGTTATTCAGCTCTGTTTTTCTCCTACTCTGTCTTAATAATAGTGGACTATTTCTTGTTTTGGTTTTGTTTTGCTGGTTAGCTTCAAAATTTTGGGCTGATATATCATAATCCCTGAACTTTTCTGAGGAAATTCTCCTTCAGAGAAGACTTGCATTCCCTTCAGCAGCTGCTAAGGGGCCCTGGCATTTTCTTCTTCTTTTTTTATATACTCACCCAAGAACATTTTTTTTTCATTGCCTCTAGAGAGAGAGAAGGGGAGAGAAAGAAACATTGACACGAGTGAGAAGCATCTATGGGCTGCCTCCCACAGGCGACCACACCAGGGCTAGTACATGTCTCAGCCGGGATCGTACTGGTCCCGGTCAGGGATCATGGTCACCCCAACTGGAGCTCAAACCCAGAACTTCGGTTGTGACCTGACCAGGGATCGAACACTCAACCTATCAGTTACGGAACAACGCTTTCACCAACTGAGCCACACTGGCCAGGGCAGCACTATCATTTTACACAAAAATACTTTTTTTATCTGTTTCAAATAATTTGTATTGAACTTATAGGGGTGATATTACTTCATAAAACTGTGGAAGTTTCTGGTGTACAGGGCTACAGGACATGATCTGTGTGTTGTACTGTGCGTTCCCCACACTGAGTCAGGTCTCCTTCCATCTCCGTTTATCCCCTTCACCCTCTTCCCCTCCCCCGCCCCCTTCCCTCTGGTCATCACCACACTGTTGTCTGCGTCTAAGAGAATGTCTTCCACTCCCTTCCCACTTTTTTCCAGCCCCCAACCCCTCTCACATCTGACAGTTCTGTCTATGAGGTTGTTTCCATTTTGTTAACTTTGTTCATCAGATTCCATATATAAGTGAAACCACGGTATTTGTCTTCCCCTGACTGCTTTATATCACTGAGCATAATGCTCTCCAGGTCCATCCATGCTGTCCCGCAAGCTCAGATTTCTCTTTTACAGCCGAGCAGTATTCCACTGGGTAACCGTACCACAGCGTTTTTCTCTGCTCTTGTACTGACGGGTATTTGGGCCGCTTCCAAAACTCAGCTATCATAAATAACACTGCAATGAACATAAAGGTGCAAAAAAATGAATTTTAAAACAATTTAACCTTCTCAGGCTAGGCAGGGTGGCTCAGTGGGTTGTAGCATCATCTCATACACCAAAGGTCTCCCGTTTGATTCTTGGTCAAAGCCCATACTTAGCTTGTGGGTCTGATCCCTGGTTGGGGCCATGTGAAAGGCAACCAATTGATGTTTCTCTCTCATGTCAATATCTGTCTGTCTCTCTGTCTCTCTCTCCCCATCCCTCCCTCCCTTCCTCTCTCTTAAAAACAAAATCAATAAATATATGCTCGTACAAGGATTAAGAAAAAAATTCACATCCACAGACTTACCCTCTGCTACTTCCTAGCATGCCCTGGGCAGGGACTCAGAAGGGCCGGGTCCCCAACTTCTCACACTTCCTCCCTAGCTTCTGCCACCAGTGACCCTACTGAGCGGCCACTCCATCTGGCCATTCTCTATCGCCATCACCACAGCCACCACCACTCTGACTTGAGAATTTGGGGTGTCACCTCCCCTGGCTGTACCTGCCCACACAGGAGAAAGCTGGCGGGCCCTTGACCCCCTCCCTGCAGGAGAGACCAGGCTGGACCCTCGCACAGGGCTCCCCTGGAGGCTCATGCTCTCAGAGGCTGAGGGACAAGCGAGGAACTCGTCCACGCTGCTACCAAAGGGGGCCATGTGCCCACTCCCAGGCTGAGATGTCAGCCTCCGTGTGGGGGTTCCAGAAGGGGCCGTGCTTGCCTGGTTGCTGCCAGGCTCCCTCTGGGTCAGGGGCCCAGCTCTGTGAGGCCCAACAAGCAGGAGGCTGAGACGCAGGAGGAGGCTTCCCACCTGGTGCAGTCTAAGGCTCCCCCCAACAGGAGAGAGAGCTTGGGGTTCAGATCCTGTGAGTGTGGTGACTTCCAGCCTCTAATTCCAGGCAGCAAATCTCCCCTGGGACAAGACCCAGGCCGTCAGCAGCTCTGGAGGGACCAAAGGTCAGTGCCAGCTCCACCCCACCCCCAAGTGCCCCAGTAGCAGGGGTGCTGAATGGTGGAGGTCGTTCACCCATTACCCCCTCCAAGTGAACCTGCCTCTGAGGTCAAGCCTAAGCTGCATCGGCAGAGCTGATTGGCCTAGTGAGGTCACCTGACCCATCAGCTATCAATTACCACCCTGAGCCAGGCTGCAGTGAGCTGAGCCAGTCAGAGTCTCTCTCAGGAACTTGAACCCGGACCAGGAGCTGCAGGCCTTGCGGGACATGCAGCTGAGCTGATGTAGGAGGAGAAGGCCCAGCATGGTGGGGGCGATAATGGTACTAATTGTTTCTGGAACCGAGAGACACAGAGTAACAGGAGGAACAGGGAGCCTCAGTCACAGGGTCTGGGTCACGTGCATGGCCAAGACTCTTCCTCTCAGTTCCAGCCACTGAGGTCCCGGCCCTGGCAGGCCAGTGCTTCCTGGTCTTGTCCACCCCAGGTGTGTCTGCCCGGCCCCTCCTGCATCCTCAGGCCATAAAAAGAACACTGCTCCCCCCCACCCCCCAGAGGAAACTGGAGAAGTGCAATGAATGGCCAGGATGCACCTCAGTGCAGCTGGGAAGGGGCCTGCATGAGGCCGCTGCACATTCCACCGCCTGAGGGTTTGAGAGCGGCTTCTACAATTCAGACATTTATTCTCACTGGTCCAGAGGCTGAGAAGTTCCACACGAGGATACCCGCAGGTTCGGATCCTGGAGAAACCCTCTTCCTGTCTCGCAGATGGCGCCTCTCCCTGTGTCCTCCCGTGGGCCAGAGAGTCTGGTCTCTCTGTGTCTTAGAAGGGCGCTGACCCCATCAGGCCCACCGCTGACCGTCCCCTCCAGGAGCTCCTGTAACCTAATCACCTTCCAGGCCCACCTCCAAACGCCATCCCACTGGGGGTTAGGGCTCCAGCACGAACTGGGGGTGTGGGGGGACACAAACGTTCAGTCCATGACGCAGCCCTGTGTGTCTTTAACAGAATTGGCGCTAGGCTGCCTGTGCCCAGATGAGATCTTCCTGTGCTTTTATTTTGCTCCATTCAAATCAGCTGAAATGATTATAAAAGAGAGTGAAAGCAACAAAGCAAACCCGACCCCTGCTGGCTCAGCAAGAATTCTCCCTGTCGACTGGCTGCCGTTGGGACGTTTCCTTGCAGTCACTGCTCGTGCTCCTCCCGCTTGCTTCTGTCCAGCAGGAACCCGATGAGGCCCGCGGCGGCCAGGCCCACGCCCAGGACGCCCGCGGTCACACCTACTGCCACGAGCGCATCGGTGACCTGCAGCAGAAGAGGAGGGCATCACACTCAACACCGGGGGCCTGACCACGGAGACTCCCACCACAGCCCCTCAGCTCAGCAAAGACCCATCTGGCCCTTGTGCTGTTCAACGAAACCACAGAAGGGACTCCTGTTGGCAGAGTGGGGGGCAGGCCCCAAGAGGGCAGGTCCCTCAGCCTTACCCATTCCATTACGTATCGTGCACGACTGCTTTTGTGCTACAGAGCTTCCACGACAGAGTGGAGTGGAGAGGCGAAGGCCACAGGGCCACGCTTCCCACTCCCTGCCCTCCACAGAAAACGCCCGTCTGACATGACCTAGGCTTCCCCTCCTGCCAGCTCACACAGTGCCCTCCACCTGCAGTGCACACTGTGTCCGATCCCTGGTAATCGCCAGCTCACTTTCCACTGTCAGATTAGTCCAAGGAATTCAATCACACTCGGCTCAGAAGCCACCTCCTCTGAGATGCCTCCCTTGAGCAGGCGCCTAGGTGCACTCCCACCTCTGCACAGTGGCC